TACTGGGAGGGCACTGCTGAGATAGTAAATCTCCTGGCACGTGCAGGTTTCATTACTCAGGAATACAATGTTCCACTTGAAGAAGATTTAATTAAAGGTTCATCCGGGCTAAATTTCTTGGAAAGTGATGAAAAGGTTTCATGTTAATACCATCCATGCTTTACATAAATTAGTTGTACAGCACTGTGCACAGTATAACTTGCCAAACCTTCTGGATCTCTATCTTGATCATCACAAGTTGGTCTTAGATAATGATTCGCTTTGCTCATTAGAGGATTCTGCAGTAAGTTTCCTTCTTTCCTGTGAATGTTTAGTCCCTTATTCGATCTTTTTTCCATACTTGCTTAAATTCTGGTGCCATTTATTGAATATGTTGACACTGATAGTGAGACTAGAGGAGAGGAAGATGCTTTTTGATATTCAGATGGTTCCTTACACATGTATATAACATTACCTATGGATAGAAGTTGCTATATTTGGTAATAAAAGACAAATATCAAGAAATTACAACTTAACAAAGAATTATACAAAAAGGAAAATAAATATTTTCTATTTTTATGGCTCTGGCGCTATATTCTAAGCCTAATGGTACATGATCAATATGCTCCCTGAAAATGGTGCTTAGATGTCTTGCTCAGCCATCTTGCGAACTAGTCCATGAAATTGTGTACTGCTAAGATATTTAATGAAGACATCATCTAGCTTGTCTCAAGAACTCACATGGTATATGTTTTACTACCCCCTGCTTATGTTTTCTGTGATGAATTATCCATCGATTTCGATGTATCTTGCTCCATCGATCTTGATGTATTTTACCTGTCATGCTAAACAGGAGTATCTGCTATACTTATTGTCGCCTTGTAGTCGCAGTCTAGTGTTAGACCTGTTTCATCTAATATCCTTTGTTCACATAGTAAACTCTGCAACCAGAGTAACTTACATACACCTTGTGCCATCGATTTGTATTCACTTTCTGCACTAGCCTTGGACACTACTAGCTGTTTTTTATTTCAAGTAACCAAGTTAGCTCCCACAAATGTTCAATAACTCAATGTAGATTTCCTGTCCTCATGAAATCGAAACCAATATCCATCGGTAAACTTTCTATATTGAGGTGATTATGCTGGGAAAAGAGTAAACCTTTTCCTCGAGCAGTTTGAAATATATGAGAATTCGATAAGCGACATTTAGGTGCAGTTATCGGGATTCATACATGTATGGGCTCATTGTACTTGGGACAGGCTTGTATCACAGCATTGCTCTGGTGATATCCAGAGGAAATCGTGGCATTAAAAGACCTAGCAAATCATGCTCTCGGTGACTGCTTATCTACAGAGAGTGCCTTCTTTAACCTTAAAAATTTTTCCTTACTCCCTTCAACATTAAATCTTTGGGGAACTCCATTATACTTTCCACTTAATCTCCTTGAAAAATTGCATTTTTAACATTAAGGTGCTAAAAGTCCCAGTCACAGACAACATTTATCTTTGCTACCGAAGCAAACATCTGTTCATAATCGAGTCTGTAATCTAGGGTTAATATCTTTGCAACCAAAGGAGATTTAAATCTTTCGATAGTCCCGTTAGATTTTTGTTTCACAATATATACTCACCTGCAGCCTATTAGTTTCTTTCCCAATAAAGGATGGACAAGTTCCCTGTCTTGGTCTTTATCAAGGCTATCACTTATCATCTATAGTTTTCACTTTGGATTCATCAAAAGTTTTTGCCAGCCTTGTGGAATAGAAGCAGAAGGCAACAACAACACAAAGGCTCTATAGGAAGGTAATAGTGAATTGTAGTAGAAGTAGTTAGATAAAGGATGTTTAGTACCAGTACCGGTCCCTTTCCTAATAGCAATTGAAACATTAAGATCGTTACTGCTAGAGAGAGAACTAGTAGCATCTAGAACTCACCAAATGTTTCTTTAGGAGCTAAATCCAGTTTCTGTAGTTGGCTAGGTTGACTTTGCTCAACAACGTTGTTTCTGTGGATGTAAGTAATCAGAATGTCCCTATCTAGTCTACTATGATATAAGATTGTGGGCTGTGATCCTTACCACTAGCGATGGAAGTAAGAACTGTAGAAGTGAACCCAATGATTGAGAGAGAAAGTTAACTCTGTCTTATCTAGTCTCCCCGTAAAGAGTTAAATGGAGTAAGAGACGTATGATTCAAATTTGCGAAGGGTGACATCCATACTAACAAATGTTTTTCTTTTTCTTTTTTTTTTTGATTAAAGAAGAAGCTTCATTCAAAGGAAAGAGGAGAGGAAGTAACTACAAAAATGGAGCACAAGACATTCTTCTAAAAAAGAAAAAAAAAAGACACATTTGAGCTTTTTGTGTAGTAGGACACGCAGTAAAGATGCATTTGAGAGCTCTGGTTCTGATTTTCCCATACTTCTCTTATGAACAAAATAGACATACCTGACGACCTTGAGAGGGACAATATGGTAGATGCCCTAGAAAAAATTACAAAGGACTTTTAAGAACTCAATGTTTGCCATGACATCTGATTGATTAGGTAAGGGGCTGTCATGATTATGTCTTTCCAGTAAGGTTTTGGAATATGCACGGAGAACAGAAGGACTCCAGCAACTTCTAATCAGTATATGTTCTTTCTTCAACAATTGCATTTTGAGTACTAATATTTCCACAGCTAGTCTGATGCACTATTCCCTAAAAGTCAATTTGTGTACAAACCATGTACAAACCATTTTGTAGGACTTAAAGCAGAAGAAGACTTCATTTTCG